ACGAGTGTCGGAAAAATGCGATTAATGGGTACTTACTTTGGAAGTAATTGGTACAGTAGTTCTTCGCATTTTCTTTTTTCTTCTAAATAGTCTGCAGTTCTTTCTTCGACCAATGCTTCTAAATTGTTGGCATACTGCTCCATACGTGATAACAAGTTGTCGAGAATATTGTTGCTTTCGTAGTCCCTAAAAAAAAGAATAATAATAACAATTAACAATCATTAAAAATGTTATGATACTTTGAGACTTTGGTATCTATCTACTGTGTAGGTGTAACTTATATTAGTGATTGATAGTTTAAAATATAAAAAAGTGGATATCGCTCTACTGTACAGTATAGGTTAYAARTGGGTTAYTGTAATGGATGGAATTAAATTTGAATCAAATGATATTATATCATTGTATACGAAAAACTATTCTGAGCGGAGACGGTTTATCTGTCTAGGATATATTATAGATTAATATTACTTATTATTAATATTTATTAAAATATTTGATTTTCCGGCGGACATTTTTTTTTTGATAAAGGTAAACAAATTATAAGGAATCATGAATTAAATTTTCAAATCTTAGATTTAAAAAGAAAATGACACACACAAAAAAAAACACACCTCGTGGTAAAATTAATACATTCCTCGCTCTGCTCAGAATCTAAAATAATATTGTATTAACATTATTAATATATAATTATTGATAGGTATTTAAATAGAATAGTTTAATAATTTAACATAAATACGCATTTAATATCGAATAACTGTGTWACGTAAAATTGATGTTATTGGATGATTAAATACATCTTTTGGTTCAGTTTAGTGTGAATATTGTTGAAATGAGTTTAAAGGAAACAAAAAATATATATGTTATGATTAACAATAGATTATTTAAAATTATTTTATGGAAAAAWTCAAAACACGAACAACTTTTATTAAAAATAAATAATATTATAATATTACAATTTAATTATATTATGACACTGTGGCTCTAATAGCATTGAAAAAAGGTACAAATTATTCGTTGAGTAACATACATATCTAATAATATAAATATAATAATTTTAAAAGCAGTTGCAAGCAGTAATGTTCCTGTGTAGATTTATAAATCGTTCAACCATTTAAAAACTATGTCAGTGATTTATTTATGATAGGTACACCACACTCAATAATGATTATTGGGATTATTATTATGAAAACAATTATTATTGTTGAATACCTACGTATAATTTACTCTCGTATATTTTCTTCTAAGACTTAACCTCTGCATTTCAATCATTMAAATCGTTCCAATAAACATCACGTGACTTTATACGGTTTGTTTTTGAAAAAATCCGATACTCCTAACCCCCACAGTAGCACAGTCTTTAGAGTTAAACATCTCGCCCGTCGTTTGTCCGAGTTATGTCGTACGTGACTTTTGAAGGTGTTCAGCTCCCTCTTACTCCYTACCCACCACCCGAGAAATGGGCACAGTGACGTATAAAAAACCTTTCCGCCAAAAACCGTGGTAATTTGTTCACCTCACCACGGTTATAGAAATTTATTTACAAAATGCCGGGAAATCCTTTATCGCGTTTCCGCTCGCAGCAGATTTTTATTACCATGTCCGGAACCCACGTGCCAAAAGATATCGCGCAGAAGAACAAAGACGAAAACCGACTGCAAACAGTTTCCATACAGATGGAGTAAAGTTATTATATATTATTAACTATTAATAATATTGTATTCGTCGGGTGTCGTTTATTAAAACAATCCGTCTCTGAAAGCATGGTCGTCGTAACGTGATGGTTAACGTTTGGCTTACGCGACCGTAAAGAATGTATTTTACGGTCAGTTGTAGGCATGTTGTACTTTACGAGTRTTGGGCATATTCAATAACTATCATCTCCCGAAATGATTTTGAGAAATCATTGTAGATGTATTTTGGCCAATGATATTATAATAACAATATTTTCAACCCGATAATATTACAATTTATACTTTAAAATTGGATAAATACAATATAAAATAGACTGAAGTAAGATATGGGATTTTAATTCTAATTTTTTTTTACTACAAAGAATCATCTGATTTCATGTTATTGTTGAAGATTTTTTTTTCTAAATGTTCGTCGATCAGAATAACACCGGTTCTACTGTGCATATAAATGTGCTTATAAATATAATTTAATACATTTTAGTAATTCAAGAATATAATACAACGTTCAATTTATACCAAGTATTAAAAATATTATATAYCAAAATTAACAACAAGACAAATTATTTTTGAAAATATAACAATGTATTCAGTTATGTTTAAATTTTTAATTTTTAATTCACTATTTTATTAATAGGTATGCATTAAGATAAATAATTAACTCTAAATATTAAAGTATAAAATTATTTCCCAAGCTTAAGGGTGTATAAAAAATTTAATAACTCACGAATTGGTAATTTTTTTAAATACATATACAAAAGGGATGATACTGCAAGACAAACATTTCTTATCTATCTGTTAACAGCCCGATCGTGTACATAATCTGGTTAGTTTATTTTACAATATATTATAAAAACATTTTCAAATAACTTTTTTCACTATGTTGCATGATATAATGGATATTAWTGCATCATACTACTTTTTAAATATTTMAATATTGGCTATWACCCATCAATTAATAACCTAATAGTGATTGTTTTCAGCACAGGGTGAAATATCTGTAAAATCTGTTTTTGAAATTTATTGGATATAAATATAAAATTCAGTCAAGAGTAAACGTACAATAGTTGTATTATTCCTGACATTTAACTTGGAAATGGATGTTTATGGATTTTATGCAGTTTGATGTCAGAAGCAGTTATCATGGGACACAAATTTAAGTGGTTAGAACAATTAGTTCCAACCTCTTAAATTAAATGACGCTCGCAAGTAGTTTTATGAAAACTTGTCACGAAATCGTTGGTCTCCGAATGATGTATCTGGATTAAAATTTAATCAAATGTCAGGGTTTTGAATTTCAGTGGTTTTGCTTAATGGCAACAGCAATTTTTAAACGGTATTTATTTTATTTAAAAAAATCTCCTAAAATAGAAATGAATGAAAAAATAAATACAATTTCATTTATTTTAAAACTAAAATAATTGGTAGGGAAAAATAAACTATACTTATTGAAACGGATGGATGGATGTGATTTTTATTTACCTGTGTTATTTGAAAGTTTGTTAATGAATTTTTATTGTATATTTGTAGGTATTAGTCATTGATTATAAATGTTTCAATAATGTGACTCTCAAAGACCCAATGAYTAAATCACAATTAAWTTATTATTTTAAATAAGTAGATTATTATGTATATAACTATTTAATTGATATAAAACTATAAAAAATATTCTGATAATAATAATAAAAAGGATTTTCCTTTTAAAAACTTATAGRAAAAATTAAACCGTGAGCTTAAAAATAATTAAACAGACGCATTATAATGGCCCCATATTCCTATAATATGCCGTGTGGGTATTCTAAATGGGTCATGAATATAGTCCGTATAAATTACAATTAATACAAAAATGTGTCATATTTYATGTGAATTGTAAAATCCATTAAAACTAATACATTATTCTATAATTATYTTTAGTATTATTGATTCAAAAAAAACTTTATTTATTTTTGTTTTGTACATATATGTTAGTATGGTGGACAGTAGACACATAAATTATGTTTTCTAACTGACACAAAGTACATTTTTTACTTGTTAAGGAACTTAAATAATAATAGAGTATCATAGGTGCTATTTATAACATAAAGTCTTAGAGATGATATCGTAGTTTACTTTATAATTTTTGTTTCGATAAGAATAAAAAAATATTTTATAAAGCTAAACTTTTAGTCATCTTTTTACTATTTTTTTTTCTTTACTAAAATAAGATAAATTTCTATCGTATCAAATTATTAAATAGCTGCGTATGCATTTAATCATCAGGCAATGAACTTTTATCTACAATATTTGTAAGACAGATAAATAAGTTTTAGTGCACAKTTATTTACATTTAACTTTATTTACTATTTTTTACAATGTATTGATTATTTTTTYATTCTATTTAAAAAAGCTGTATACAATTTGAAGTAGCCACGATAACCATTGGAAATGATTTATCGTTATGGACTGGATAAAAAAAAA